CACTCAGGCGCCCGTCCGCAAAGTCCACAACCTGCAGCCGGTTGGGTCTTTGTTTTTTTTTTGGGGTTTAGGGTTTAGGGTTTAGGGTTTAGGGTTTAGGGTTTAGGGTTTAGGGTTTAGGGTTTAGGGTTTAGGGTTTAGGGTTTAGGGGTTAGGGTTTAGGTTAGGGTTTAGGGTTTAGGGTTTGGGCCATTGGGGGGGGGGGGGGGGGGGTGGAGTTAGGGTTTAGGGTTTGGGGTTTAGGGTTTGGGGGTTTGGAGTTTAGGGTTTTGGGGTTTCGGGTTTAGCGTTTTTTTTGGGCGTAGCTTTTGTTGGTTGTCTGTTTTTTGGGGAGGTGTTGGGTGGGGTGGGGGGAGGGGGCTTGGGAGTTTGTTGGGTTTTCATCTTCAACTTCAGAACCATATCCGAGTTCAGTCTTCTGGCCGGCTACAGGATTTGCTCATCGAAGGTTTTCGGGGGGCCTAGAACCGTAGCCGGGCACTATCTGGCAATCAACTGCACCATTGTTTGGCGGGGGTACTATTTTAAAGTGATCATTTTTGTTCCTTATTGGGGTTAAGTATTCAGAAACACGTAAAATGATTTCAACAATGACCCAGTCAGTTCTCAGCCAAGCTACTGGCCAGGGAGGTTCTACGCTTGGAGGGCCATTCTCGTCGAAGACTTCACTTCCGGAACTCACGTTCCGGACATGAGAGGCCTTTAAGGGCCTCGCCAAGAAGCCCAATACTTGGAGGTTCGTGGTACTTATTAACCAATCATAGCTGTACTTACAACCCACTTATCAGCCCCCCAAGTGCCCTTGTCTGGTTATAGGTACAGTTATAAGTACAGCTCTAAGTACAATTATTATTGGCTAATAAGTACCATGAACCTCCCAAGTAAGGGCCTCACCAAGAAGCCCAATACCAAACTTAATCAAGGAACGTCACCTGAAATCACACCAGGGATCCCCTAAACCCTAAACCCTAAACCCTAAACCCTAAACCCTAAGCCCTAAACCCTAAACCAAGGAATATTCTTTCATGAAGGGGGGTATTGGGAGACGTGGGCCTGTCATCGAAGGCTTTTAAGTTCGGGTTTAGGGTTTCGGGCGTGTATCAGTGTACGCTCGCAGCTAAGCATCAGGGTCCAATTTGGGGGTCCCCTCTTTCGGTGGCGCCGTACTACTTAATCAGGGGCCGGCGCAAGTAAGAGGGACGAGCCACTCCGTGGCCCCACCTCGAGGTGAGCCGTCAAGCAAAGGTACTCACTCATGATGACCCGGAAGCTGTCCTGGCAAAGCCCACTTCGCGGAAGCTGCTGAATATTTGTTGTTAGAGTTTTGGGCTTTAGGGGTACCCTGAACCCAAACCCTAAACCCTAAATAGACCCCGAACCCCCATCCCCAATCATATTTGCGCCTGCTCCGCGTAGTGCTCATGCTCAGGAAGAAGGTGGGCCCTGGTGTAATTATTTTGACTGTTTGGGGGGTTCGACTCAGTTTTTGCTGCGTAGCTTTCAAAAAAAGAGAGGCTTGAGGGTTTTAGGGCTTAGGGCTTAGGGTTTAGGTTGGGTTGAGGGTGTAAGGTTTAGGGTGTCCAGCTGCCACTTGTTCAAAAGCTGAGGTCTTAGGACTCGGGTTTAGCATTTTGTTGCTTTTGTTTGGCTGCCTCTTGGCTATCGCATGGCCGGATGGACCGCGCTGCAGAGGCGGTGGACCTACAACAAACCCCTCGGCTCCGGAACGGTTTAGAGTTTCGGTTTGGGGCCTAGGTGTTTCGGCGATGAGACAAGAGATTTTCTTAAGGCAGAGAAAACATGTGCTTCCCGATGTTTGTTCATGTATTTACTTCTTGTTTTATTGCACACCCATGTCTGCATGTGCATATACCTGTACATATGCATATGTATATATTTATAGATTATACGTATATCAAATTAAACATATGATGTATCTTTTGGGCACCTATCCAACACATGGAAGTGCTCAGCCCCAGGCCACCAGTCGTGCGCGCCAGGGTCGAGTTGCCGCGCACGCGCCAAAGCATCCAAGAGAGGCCTCCCCAAACCCCCTTAAGCCTAAACCCTTTAGGGTTTAGGGTTTAGGGTTTAGGGTTTAGGGTTTAGGGTTTAGGGTTTAGGGTTTAGGGTTTAGGGTTTAGGGTTTTGCAACTGGACTCCTTGCTGCCAGGTAAGCCTAAACCCTAAACCCTAAACCCTATATAAACTTTCCCGAATCCCTCACCCAAGCCCAGCTACAGCTTCATAAAGGTGTTATTAAGGTTTAGGGCTCAGGAGGCTTCGGGGGCTTAGGGCTGCAGGGTTGAGGCCCTAGGCCCTTTTTGGCCCTTGTAGCCCCAAACGTGCCCAGAGAACTGGGGCACTGCTCATTGTAAACCGCCAAGCCTACCCCAACGCTCCCACCCTTGCGGCCCTGCCTCAGCCTTTCCTGGTGCTCGTATGCCCACCTGCCTCCGGCAGAACCAAGCTTGTGACAGCCGCAGTTCACAAAGCTGCGAGGGCAAAATCTTCGGATTCGCGATGCGCAAGAAGAAGAAAGGCTCTGGTTTTGGGGCTTTGGATAGCCGGCTTAAGGTGAAAGCTTGCTCACACTGCAGAACTTGATAGGACCCTAACCCTGGCGATGTTTTGGGATCTGTATGACAGTTTCTGCGGACATGAGCTGAGGATTCAGGTTGAAGGTTCGTCTGAGCAGAGCTTGCTGAGATGCGCGCTTCTTGCGCAGATCAGGCGCAGGAACCTGACTTGCACTGCAAACAGGTCCCTGGGATGCGCATTTGAGGCCGATCATCCTTGCCGTACCTGGGGGGTCAGAAGTACCCTAACCCCTAAACCCTAAACCCTAGACCCTAAACCCTAAACCCTGAACCCTCAACCCTAAACCGTCCGAAGCAGTTGGGCATCTCGCTCGGTGGCGTCTTTCCCGCGCTTGGCGACGTTGTTGAGGACCTGCAGCGTGCCAAAAGTCTACCTGGAGGTTCGTGGGTACTTCTAACCCCCTTTATGAGTCTACTTATGGGTACTTCTGACCCCAGTTATGAGTCTACTTACCACCTACTTACATGACCTAGGGGGGGGCGTACAAGTACAGCTATGATTGGGGCTCTAAGGACCCATGACCCTCCAAGTATGGTGGCCATCTTGCACTGAAGCTGAAGCTTTCCTGCTGCCCAACTGGGATGCACGAACTTGGGGCTCACTTAGGGCTTTCCAGGGTTCTCAGCTCAGAAAGTGCATCTTTTTGTTGTGGCATATGCTTTGGCCAGGAAGTGCGAGACAACGGGGGCGCGCTGCACCCCGGGCGAACAGCCCGGCACAATTCCGCGGCAGTGAACGGCACCCAAGAACCCACCTCCTGTTGCTTCTATCCCCCTTCTACTCCCCTCTTATCCCCCTCATACCCCCCCGTATAGCCCCCCCTTATACCCCCTTATAGCCCCCCCCCTTCTAGCCTTCTTAGAGCCCCTCCAAAAAGCCCTGGTGATCTCCAAGTTCGCAAGGCGAGAATCCCGCGACGTTGGGAACCCTAAAGACCCCCGAAACGAACCCCTCAAGCCCCTGAACAGAAGGGTCTTAGGGTCTTAGGGTCTTAGGGTCTTAGGGTCTTAGGGTCTTAGGGTCTTAGGGTCTTAGGGTCTTAGGGTCTTAGGGTCTTAGGGTCTTAGGGTCTTAGGGTCTTAGGGTCTTAGGGTCTTAGGGTCTTAGGGTCTTAGGGTTTAGGGTTTAGGGCTTAGGGCTTAGGGTTTAGGGTTTAGGGTCTAGGGTTTAGGGTTTAGGGTTTAGGGTTTAGGGTCTAGGGTCTTAGGGTTTAGGAACCGAATCCTGCACCCGACCTGCATGGGATTGGTGCTCGAGCCCTGCTCCATGGTACTCGCATTCAGCGTTTTGGCTCCAGTTCAGGAGAAACGCCTCCAGTTTCGCCTCTTCCCTTCTGAGTAGAGCGGGCGAAAACCCCTAAACCCTAAGCCATTTGGGTCACTCCTGAACCCTCAAGCTTCCCTAAACCTCAAGCTTCTAGGGTCATCAAGATCTGGCTTGATTTCAGCGTCCACTTCAGGGGGAAAAGGGTCAGCTCCTAAACCTACACATGGCAACCGCGCCCCTATGGGCGAGCCAGACAGAGGACTGTTGTTCGTCCTGTGAAACGGAGCTGAAAAACAGAGGATGATGATAGATGATAGGGGTTTTGGGTTTAGGGTTTAGGGTTTAGGGTTTAGGGTTTAGGGTTTAGGGTTTAGGGTTTAGGGTTTAGGGTTTAGGGTTTAGGGTTTGCTGCCCTGGTCTTTTCCGTCGAGTGCACAAGAAGAAGGATAGTCGAGGTTGCAAGGCTTTGCCCATCATGTCATATGTCAAACGAACCTTCCCCCGCTGGTCCCAGTGAAGAGGTGTCACACAAAGCCATCAGCGCAGATCGCACCTGTTTCCGTGCATCCCCGCACAAACAATACGAGCAGCAGGTGCCTTACAAGAACGACGACAGCAACAACCGGGTCCAGCAAAGTTAAGCAAGGAGCCGTGCAACGCAAAGCCTCTCCTGAGCCGCGATTCCGTACCTTCTCCCTCCAGACTCCAGAACTGTTTTTTTGTGGGGCCTCTTGAAAGCTTCCAGATCGAGGTTCGCGTAAAGACCAGAATCCTAAACCCGAAACCCTAAACCCCAAACCCTAAACCCTAAGCCCCTTTTTTTGGACCCAGACTCCTGAAGTCAGCTGGGAAAGGCCTACCTAAACCCTAAACCCTAACCCCTAAACCTCTAAACCCTAAACCCTAAACCCTAAACCCTAAACCCTAAACCCCAAACCCTACCCCAAGTTGAAAGATCCACAAGTAGCCCGGGCCTGCTCTGGAAGGCTAAGGCTTCCCTCAACCGAGCCCGCGCACTTCACAGGCTCGGAAGAGGAGTGCAATCTGAGACCCTAACCCTAAACCCCAATCCCTAAACCCTAAACCCCAAACCCTAAACCCTCACTTAGCAACCCTCGCATGAAGGGATCGATTCAGCGGTCGTACACGGAAAGTTTGGAGAGCATGTCCTGAGCGAGTCGCATACCCCAGAAAGGGTTTAGGGTTTTGGGGTTTAGGGTTGAGGGTCAGTGCTTAGGGTTTAAGATTTAGGAGGGGCTTATAACACTACAGCAACCCTAATCTAAATTTTAAACCCCAGCTATAACTAACCTTGCGCCTCCGAGTAAGCATGAGTCTTTTTCGCTCAGCTGTTGGGCAGGCGTTGAGGTCAATCGAAAACCAATCAACCTGCTAGGGGTAACATCTTCTCCGTTTGCCATAATCGTTTCTAGTGGGCATGTTGGGAAAACATGAAAATTGTCTCAAAGGGTCAGGGTCACCATGTGCCCCAGATATTTAGCGCTGCGCTCCTGATGGTACCCGCTCGACGATACTGTTCTTCTTAGTTCCCTCTGCGATGAGACATCTGCTGCCGTGGCAGCTTCAGCCGTACATGAACTTGCTGCGAATAAAAGCAGCATCAAACACAATGATCTTCCACTTCTTGCTCGCCGTTGCTTTCAAATACGGGTCAAGCTCGACCAACCTCTTGGATCTTCTGGGCGAGTTCATGCTGAACGCTGACCGCCATGTTGACTTCATGACCTAGATAGGTGGCCTCCCCTAAACCCTCAACCCTAAACCCTAAACCCTTTTTTGCACCCTAAACCCTAAACCCTAAACCCTAATCGGGAGTTGAGGGGCCGAATTCACAGAAGCCCTCCAAAATCCCCCTTTTCAACCCGACTCTTGCATCCCAGCGTCCTTGTTCAGCGCAATCTCCATGTCACCTGGGTGGCCACAGGCCGAACGAACTGCCCTAAACGCTAAACCCTATACGCTAAACCCTAAACCACAAACCCTTTTTGCATCCGGGCTTGGGGAGTCGGCCGGGAATGGTCAGATTTCCAACCCTAAACCCTAAACCCGAAACCCCAAACCCTCTTCACTTTCAAGGCTACACCCTCAACCCTCGGCTTGCAATGGGAGGGATTCCATTTCAGGTGGCCCTGCGCACTCTACACTCCCACTCAGTCAGGGTTCAGGATTCAGTGTTTAGGGTTGAGGGTTTAGGGCTTAGGGTTTAGAATTTTTTTGCCACCCGCCTAACAGACCACCTCTGGGATCACTCGGCAGGGAACCGGGTTTAGGGTTTGAGGGCTTAAGGTTTGGGACTCCCTGATGCATGGTTGAGCCACAAACAGAGACAACCACCGCCTAAACGCAAAAAACCCTGGAATCCTGGGTTGCTGCCTTTAGGGTTTAGGGTTTTAGGGTTTAGGGTTTAGGGTTTAGAGAACTGAAAATGAGTTGTCATTTTAAGAACTCCGCTGCGTGCGACATTCAAAAATGCATGAATACAACACGTAAACACTCTTTAACATATGTATGTGTCTGAACATGTGTTACATAACTGCAATGTCAATACAATCGCAAAATAAACCTACACATATACGGACGAATATAAACATAAACAGACATGTATCTATGTTCCCTTCATATAAGTGGGTCATGAGTACAGTTACAATTGGTTGACAAGTACCATGAACCTCCAAGCAGGGCTTGGGGTTTCTGCTGAGGGGCTCATGGCATCCTCTCGGATCATTTGGCCACGAAGCTTCCCCGCCTGACCAGGCGGAGCCCCGCCCCAAACACAAGCACTCAGGGTTCAGGGTTTAGGGTTTGGGGTTTCAGGTTTAGGGCTTAGGGTTTCGGATTTAGGGTTAGGGTTTAGGGTTTTTGCCGCCCGCCTAGCTGAACAGCACGTCCACATCAGGGTTTCGAGTCTAGGGACCCTAAACCCTGGAACCTTCAACCCCTGGCCTGCCCATCTTGTCGTGCAAAGCTCGGCCGCCAGGCAGCTCCCTAAACCCTAAACCCTAAACCCCAAACCCTAAACCCTAAACCCTAAACCCTAAACCCTAAACCCTAAACCCTAAACCCTAAACCCTAAACCCTAAACCCTAAACCCTAAACCCTAAACCCTAAACCCTAAACCCTAAACCCCATCCCTAAGCCAGAGGAACAACGGACTGATCCTTAACAAGCTAGAGACAAAAGCTGAACCCAAACTCCTCGACATGTTTCCTCCATGCCCTTAACCCTAAACCCTACACCCTAAACTCTAAACCCTAAACCCTTTTTTTACGGCTAGGACTGCTGCACTGCCTGCCTGGGGCCTTCTCAGCACCCTTGCAGAGGCTTCATACAGACCCCAAACCCTAAACCCTAAACCCTAAACCCCAAACCCCAAACCCTAAAGCTCCCTGCCCACAAATCGGACCCCGCACGGCCTGCGCCTCTTCGCTTCAAACTCCATTACAGCTCTTTTTCAGGTTTTGGGTTTAGGGTTTAGGGTTTAGGGTTTAGGGTTTAGGGTTTAGGGTTTAGGGTTTAGGGTTGTTTTTTGTTGTGGAAGTCGGAGGATGCCAGGGGTTCTTGGGAATTACGGGTTCTTTGGTCTTAGGGTTTAGGGTTTAGGGTTTAGGGTCTAGGGTTTAGGGTTCAGTGACTTAGGGGGTTTAGGGGGTTTAGGGGGTTTGGGGGGTTTAGGGGGTATAAGGGGCTTAGGCTGACTCTCATGCTCGCACACGGCCGGCAAGGCATCATTCGGGGGTTTGGGGGATGTCGGGTTCAGGGCTTCAGGAAGTACTTGTGAATTTTCATTACGTTAAGATACTAAACCCTACCCTAAACCCTGAACCCTAAGCCCTAAGCCCCAAACCCTAAACCCTAAACCCTAAACCCTAAACCCTAAACCCTAAACCCTATCATTTAGAACAGACGTAGAAGGCAGCGCACGGCCTGACGGGCGGCCATCTGCTCCACCAGGTCGTCCTTGTACCTCTGCTCAAGCTTAGGGCTCCAGGCGGCCGCAGGGACAAATCAGCTTCCTGGGGTTTAGGGTTTAGGGTTTAGGGTTTAGGGTTTAGGGTTTAGGGTTTAGGGTTTAGGGTTGAGGGTTTAGGGTTGAGGGTTTAGGGTTTAGGGTTTAGGGTTTAGGGTTTAGGGTTTAGGGTTTAGGGTTTAGAGCTTAGGGTTTAGGGTGTTGTTTTTGCCACCCGCCCAGCAACGTGCGCGAGTGCTGGGCGTGCCGATCTAGGCGTAGGGTTTACTCGGCGCTGTCTGAGTCTGAACAACTTAGGTGTAGGGTTTAGAGTTTAGGGTTTAGGGTTTAGGGAACCAAAAAGGGGGTAAGTCGCGATTCGGCGAGAAGGGCTGGTTGGCCCCCGCGCCGCATGAGGTAGAAGCCGGGCAGACGCCGCTTGGACGGGGAGGCCCCTCAAGCCCCGGCTTGCGTTTGAAAGAAGATCATGCCATGAGGGCCAAGAGTTCCAAAACCCTGTTAAGGCTCAGAGTTTAGGGCTCAGGAGGGTGTAGGGTTCAGGGTTCAGGGTTCAGGGTTCAGGGTTCAGGGTTCAGGGTTTAGGGTTTAGGGTTTAGGGTTTAGGGTTTAGGGTTTAGGGTTTAGGGTTTAGGGTTTACCTAGGGCATCCAAGGGCCCCGGCTGGCTTTTTCTCTTCTGCAGATCCTCACAGGTTTGAGTCCGGTTTGAAAGCTTTCTTATCCCACGCCTGTGAAGTGCGAGCACTTCTGTGGGACGCCAAAATCCACCCTGTTGCAGCTGGGAATCACCCCCTAAACCCTTTGGTTTTCCTAAGCTACCCGGACCCTTCTTCAGAAACACCCCCCCCCCCATAGCGTTCAAAGGCCCTGAAATTTTACCCAAGGTTCTGGGGCGATCAAGACCCGAGTCGGAGCCGCCTAGCCCAGGGGTTTAGGGCTGAGGCAAAGGGTGTGCTAGGGTTGAATTAGGCCAGGGGGTTGAGGGCTGAAGGTTTAGGGTTTAGGGTTTAGGGTTTAGGGTTTAGGGTTTAGGGCTTAGGCTTTGCGGGTTTCCTGTCCTCTTGCTTCTTGGACTCTTTGTTGGCCTCCTTTCTTGCCAGGTCCTGGCGCATGAAGAGTTCAACAGGAGCTGAAGAGTACTGAACTTGGAACCCTAGCAAAAGGAACAATTTTGACTGTTTGTACCCAATGCATATATATATATATATGTTTGTTACCAACAATCCCGAGGGATTCTGAAGAGTAGGGGCTGCTTCCCAAGAAGGGCCCATGACTGTCTGAAAAAATAAGCCACCTGCGCGCGCGTGTGAATCATGAATCAACAAGTTGTGACGCGCGGGTGACGAGCTGCGACGGCGGGAAAGTCGAGATAGGTGGTCCTCGCTCTCCCGTAGCTTCGCCTGCTCAAACTCTACGTCCTTGTTGCGCCTCGGCGGGGGGGGGGGGGGGCAGTGCCTACGCACACGCGAGACTGGACGCCTTGGGCAAGAAGCTCCTCAAGCAGGAGCTCCAATGCCCTGGAGGGGTCCCCCGTACCATAGGGGTCGGAATAACTACTAACAGTATTCCCTTATGGCCCCTGTCTAATTATTCTATAGGAACTCCCCAAGACCCTTTTCGAATTCAGGCCCCTGTATTACATGCCGATTTCGAGCATAGTCGGCCGGAACCCGTCCTGACCTTGTTCCGCAACCTTAAACCCTACACCCTAAACCCTAAACCCTAAAACCCACGGGCTACCAGACAATCGGAGCATTGCTGCACGACGACTTCGGGGGCTTTCTGCCAGCTTCTGGGCAGTGCTCAGGGTTTCGGGCTTAGGGGTTTAGGGGCTTTAGGGGCTTTAGGGGTTTAGGGGTTTAGGGGTTTGGGGATTTAGGGGTTTAGGGGTTTAGGGGTTTGGGGGTTTGGGGGTTTGGGGGTTTGGGGGTTTGGGGGTTTGGGGGTTTACGGGTTGAAGGGTTTTAGGGTTCAGGGGCTAGGGTGTGGGCCGGTTTGGAGATTAGGGCCTGGGGAGTCGCATCTAGGGGATGCGTGGGGCTTGGGACTTCGGATCGAGAACCCTAAACCCTAAACCCTAAACCCTAAACCCTAAAACCTAAACCCTAAACCCGATTGAGAGGGACTCAAGCCGAGGCAGATGCCGCTGCTGTTTCCTTGGCTCCATGGACTCTTCCGGAAGTGGAAACTGAGGAATTCTTCCAGGTCCATGTTTTGGGTGCTGATATTTTGGGGCGACGGTTCAGGAATCAGTGTTTAGGGCTTACGCTTATAAAGTTCAGGGTTTCGGCCGGCACTCCTGCAACAGCCGGCCCACGCATCGCACTTGAACTACTCGCTGCTTCGAAGTGAGGGCACGATACACACCAAAACACTCAACCCTAAACCCCAAGGCTTATGGGTTCAGGCGCCCCTGCGGCCAGGCAGCTCAAGCATCTGCTTGTGCAAGAACTCAACATTTTCCCTGGCATCCCATCATGCAATATCCCGTGGACGACCCAGCGCCCCTAAACTACCTGAATCCTTCGAAACTCGAGAAAGTCCAAAGCAGCCCTGGGGTTTGGGAATTCACCCAACTACTGTTGCCGGGACTTTGATGCTGCTGCATCCTTTCAATGTTCATTTGATGCGCTAAATCTATCATGAATATGAGGGGTAGGGGCCAATGGGAAACTGGTATCCCCCCCGTACCCTGAACACACCTAAGCCCATCAGCCACTCCTTGCACACTCTGAAAAGCCTATTTGGGGTCTATGGCACGCTCTTCAACAGCAACCTCGCAAGTATCACTGACTGTGACGGGATACAGCGAAAAAAGGCAAGGGATCGCATGACGGGGCGTGCCCGGGATGCTCGGGCGCACTCGGGAGTACTCGAAAAGCAGTTTCTGGAGCCCTAAACCCTATACCCTAAACCCCAAACCCCACACCCATTCATGCCCGGGCGGCCTGCGCATCTTTCGCCGCTCCTGCTCCTTCTGCCGGTCCTCGTCCTCGGCACCTCAGCTTCTGGGAAACACTTGTGGGGGTTTAGGGTTTAGGGTTTAGGGTTTAGGGTTTAGGGTTTAGGGTTTAGGGTTTAGGGTTTAGGGTTTAGGGTTTAGGGTTTAGGGTTTCGGGTTCAGGGTTCAGGGTTCAGGGTTCAGGGTTGAGGGTTCAGGGTGGAGAATTAGTAGGGTGCAGGGTGCAATCACCCGCCCTTTTTTTGGAACAGCACCTTACTCCAAGGATCGAGGCCTATGAGGGACAGTGGGGCCCATCCTAGCAAGAATCAGCTCTCTCATCCCCGAACCCTAAACCTTAACATTTAGAGCCTACTTGGAACTCCAAACCCCTAAGCAGCACCCTCAGCACTTCAGCATAAAATTAAAGCTTAAAAGCCCCCAACCCTGGCAACAGCTTTTGGTGCGCCAGCGTGGTAAGGAACTTTTCATCCCTGCGAACCTCCCTGTGGTGTGCCAACATTGTTGCCCGCCGCCGAAGCCAGAAAAGCTGCCGCACGCCGCGCCGGCGTGAAAGTGCGCAGGAGGGGAGTGCACAGCACCATGCTCGGCCTCCAAACGTTCACAGGCGAGCCACTGAGCGATGCCAGAGGGGACTATGATGTGGCCAGCATACTTTTCGACGACTGCACGAGATCTCGTCGTCCATACATCCAGGTCCTCCTGTTGGCAAGCCCACATCCACACTCCAGAAGCTTTTGTTGCTGCAGCCTGAAACTTGGCTGCACTTCGGAGGGTAGTTATAAATTAAAATGCTTAGCTGCCTTATTAAGAAGCCCAAATCTGTGTTGCTTTACTCCGACCTGCCCTAAACCCTAAACCCTAAACCCAAAACCTTTTTTGCATCCAGGCTGGAGGAGTCGCCGGGGAATAGCCCGAAACCTAAACCCTAAACCCTAAACCCTAAACCCCTAACCCCTAACCCCTAACCCCTAAACCCTATGCGGAGCTGCAATTGGTATTGTAGAAAGGAGTTAGTGTTGGAAGTTGAAAGGGTTAATGAACCCGTAAACTATGTTTGGCTCAAGGATGGCCAGCCCGTCCAAAGAAAAAAGTCCGTGTTTGGGAGTGAGGGTTGGGTTAGTGCCCCTCTACTGGTGTAAGGGTGCCCCTTCCTTGTTGCTCTTATCCGTGTTCTTGGTTGTTTCTTGGTTCGATCTGGGAAATATAAGTTCAGGGCGATTAGGGGAGTTGATTTCCTTCCTTGGTTGTCCCCCCGTAGGTTATGAGCCCAAATTAGGTTCCCTGCGGTTAAGTGTTCTTTCAAGGTTTTTGGGATCAAGAAGCAATGCCTTCTCCGAAGCGATGGCTCCAACTTGCCTCGGATGGTGGACAAGATGGTGGAGCTGGAAATGGTGCAGCTGAGTCTCTGGGTGAAAGATCGGTGTTGGAAGAGGTGATTCCCGGCGCTGAAGAACATCTGGAAGAGGCCTTGGTTGCAGAAAGCCCCAATGTGGGTATGAATCCCAATAGGGATATGGTTAGCAATGCTGAAGCTGAAGGACGTGCTGTTTCTGTATCGCCAAAGCCTGGTGAGAAAAGGAACTGGGACGCGACTGGTGGTATAGATCGTGAAATGGAGGTGACTGTTTTACGAGTGTTGCACAAACACGGGTATCAGCCGTCGTCTTCGACTTCGGGTCGAATGGTAGACCAAGAGTCTCAGACCGATCTGATTGGAGAAGTGCTGCAAGCGGCCCGGAGGCCTCTGAACAAGATCAAAAGGGGTCCATCTTCGAGTTCCCAAGGTGGTGGAAGCGGTCATGAACAGAAGGGTGCGGACAGCTTTGAAGCTGCACCTGCTGCTGGATACGCCATGGGGGAGGAGGAGATCCTACAGATGGAGGCTGAGAGGTTGCGACAGTTGTCCGAAGAAGAGGACGAGATGCGACAGGTCTCTGAAAGGGATGGTTTTCAGAAAGACGAGCATCTGATCAAAGCGTGCGATGGGACAACGTGGGAATGGCACCTCCATGAAGATGGGAGACAATATTATTACTGCCTGGATACGCAGGAAAGCAAGTGGACATTGCCGGTGGTAGGTGAAAAGATGAAGAGTGACGAGGTGGTTGGGTCTCCTTCGGGCAATGAGCTGGAAATGGAGGCGGCACTGGATTCTTCATCCTCTACTCCGAAGACTGAGTCTACGAGGGCATTCCAGGGTAGTGTAAATAGTTTAGGTGAAAAAGATTTTTCCTCTACTATCAGGGATAGCGGTCCTAGGGCTGGTGGTGACGCCCCGACCTCGGGTTCTCCTGATGAGGAGGAGATTCCTGGAAACCGAACAGACATCGCTGGAGCTCAACATCTGGATCGGGAAGGAATGGGAGCACTTTCTGAGGGTGTGGCAGCGGTGGAATCGGTAGGTCCAGAAGAAAAGATTCCCAATGTGGAGATCGGAACTGTGTCGGCTGCAGAAGATCGAGTGGTGGATGTGGTACCTGTCGTTCGGGAATGTGGTCCTGGAGATTTGGAAGACGGAGGGAAAAGGTCGTGTGTTGCGACTGAGGAGGTCTCTTCGTTTGGTGCCAAGGTTCCTGCCATTCAAAGGGAAAAAGAAGCTTCTGGAATAGCTGGAGACACAGAAGATCTGAAAAATGAGGCCTGGAGCGCCAATGATGCGCGGGTCGATGCGCCAGATATTACCTGGAGTGCGAAGGAAGCACGGGTTGAGGTGCATATGGCGTTACGTTCCACGGGCGACTGCAACAATGGGGCGCAGGTCTCCGCAGCAGCTGATGATGGAGGTTCACAGGTGGACGCACTGGTGCAACCTGAAGTTAGCAGCGAGGAACGAAATGACAAGGGCTACACCGGAGCCAATGAGGCAGCTGTGGTCAATGATGGTGGAAATTCTCCTTTGGAAGCCATGGAACCAAAGGATCCTGCGGTGGAAGAAAGCGTGCCTGCCGTGGATGATCGACTCAATTGCCCTGCAGTGGAGGAAGATTTGCCTGCTGCAGAAGGTGTGACAAAGGACTCCAATGATGGGTCCACTCCCATGAAGGGAGAAGTGTTGCCGTCTGGAAGTTCGCCGGAAGTCGACACCGAGCGAATTACAGCAGATGAGGCAAAGCCTTTGGCGGAGAAAAAGAGAGGTCCTGAAGTCCAGGAGCACAAAAAAGATGAGCTTGTGGGACTCGTGGAGCAGGACGAGCAGTGTGACTCAAAGGTGAAAACAAAGGATGCGCCAGGAGCCGATGATACAGAGGTGGTTTCTGAAGAGCACGCAAAGAAAGTGCCCCGAGCGGGAGCCTTGGAATCACCTGGGACACATTGCTATCAAGAGGGAGATGAGATCATAGGTCTAGTGCGCTGCATCAATGGGTATGGAGCCTTTTTGGACCATGGTGATTTGAATGTATTGATTCCTGCAGAAGGGAACAATACGTGCCATTTCAGATTTGGTGATACTGTCAATGGAACAGTGAAACTAGTGGAAGATGATGGTACCATAATCTTGGACACCTTTCTGGTTTTGGAAGAGGACGGGGAGGACTCTTCCTCAACGCTGCGGAAGTGGAAACCCAGCGGCTGGAGTACGTGGTGGACGAATCCATGGTATGTTGGTCAGTGGTACCGAGATTCCAACGGTCAATGGGACTGGAACCAGGAGGAAGAGCAATCCGATGAGGAGCGTGTGGTACAGGAGTTGTCCTCTGAAGAACGAGAAGAAAGACAACTTTATGGAGAAAAGATCTACAAAGCTCTTCTGGAGAATGGAAACGAAGAGGAAGCCTATGTTGGCAAAATTACAGGGATGCTGTTGGGTCGCCCGATGGAAGATTTACAGGAGTGTGTTGCAGATCAGGCATTCCTCAATGCGGAAGCTCGGCGCGCGTATGGCATCTTGCAAAATAGTGGTTGGAAGCCTGATGGTACAGAAAGCACAGGCTTGGGGGAGTTAACCACTTTTTCCCGAAAACAGTACCACAACGCGCTTTTCGAACTGGCATGCAAAAAAAGGAGATTTTCTCGACCAGTTGTGGGTGAAGCGGTGGCAACGGTGCTGAATCAAGGGGAAGATGAGTTTTGGAACGCGCTTTGGTTGGACACCAAGCTATTTTTGCAGGAGCTTGATGGTGCAGTGCAATCCATGAGCAAAAGGGAGAACAAGCCAATGGAAGCCTACATGGACCCTGACCAGTACAAAAAGGCTTACATGACACCAAAGACTGTGTTGTCACCTGGTTACAGCAAGCTGTGCAAGTTCTTCAATCGGGGAAGGTGTCGCAATGGTGATGAGTGTTCCTATGAGCATCGTCGTTATGGTGAAGGTTGGCCAGGAGGAGGGTCAACTGATCCAAAGAATAGCCAAGAAGCTGATGATGAGGATGGGAACATCGGTGACCCTCCCACAGAGGAAGGTACAGTGGATGAGGCACAGCAGGAGCGGGAGGATTTAGCCTTCCGGGCCAAGTACAATTTTGGCAAAGGTGCATCAAAGGGTGAGCCTACGTCAGGTGAGCCAAAAGGTCGGCTGTGTCTGTATTACAATCAAGGTGGTTGTAAATATGGGACTGCATGCAGGTACCTTCACAACGATGACATAGCATTGGAAGGGACTTGGGAGCCCGGCAAATCTTGGGACAATGCTTCCAGGAAGTCACTAAGGGACGCAGGGTTCCACAATTGCTGTTTCGATTATTACCTCCGAGGACGTTGCCGGAAAGGGTTAAATTTCTGCAAGTACTCCCATGACGAGATGTCAGAGGAGCGGTTGTCGCTCCTGAAACACTTGGTACAGGTGGCCAATCAGGTCCGGTTTGAAAAAGAGAGAGGATGGGAGATTACGGATAGAAGCACATTTCAGCCACCTGCAAGTGGGGGAGCTGAATCTTCCTCATCCTCGGCACCGAAAGCACTGCAAATGACCAATGTGTCACAAAAGGATGGTGAAAAAGGTACTCTGGATGAAGCAGAAGCTGATGAACAAAAGAATTCCGTGGCTGCATCCACTGGTACTCAGCTTCAAAATCCGGAGGAGCCAATTGAAAATTGGATGGCTCGCAACGCACACCTGTGGGTGTATACCCCTCATGTAAGTGAGGTGATGATTACGCTTGGTGTGACCAATGTGTCGGACTTGCAAGAGTTCATCTTTGTGGAAGATTTGGTTGACAAGGGGATCAACAAAGTGACCGCATGCAAAATTCTGCAATTGGTGGGTGATGTCCGATATCGACCGGGAGGACCGGAAAAGGCAGTTCCTTCTGATGCATCTGTACGGGTACAACAATCTTCTGGGAACAAAGGGACTGGAAGAGCGGCGGCGCGAACCCTCACTCAGGTGCGTGAAGCTGAAGACTCCGGTGCAAAAACTATGCCGAGAGGCTCCTATCGGGAGCTTTTTGATAAGGTCAGGTACCGTGATGGTTGGACGCTTGCGCAGAGGTCTCCGTTGTGTGTACAGAAGCTGCGGTTGGTGGGAGTTGGAATGCCGCCGGTGAATCCACCAACAAAAAAGTATCGGTCAAGATCAAACCCTGTGAGAAGGGGAAGGCCCTTGCTGGACAAAAAACAGGTGCGACAGGTGCCACGCTCTCGGTCACAACGACGAGTGCAACCGGCGGAAGTGGTGGAAAAGCCGAAGCCACTGGAACTGAAGCCTCGTGGTGGGTTGTCGTATCGGTTCAGCAGAGCGTGGGCAGATGTGGTGGATGATGATGAACAGGCGGAGGCTTTGGTCTCGTATGCCGCTTCCTCAAGCGATTCAAGCGAAGAGGAGACCAATGCCGTACAACGCCTGAAGGAAATCTTTTTGCAAGAAAGGGATTCAAAGAGAACTGCGAATCGTGGCAATGTTCCGCAAAGTGGTTCTTCAGGCTCCAATGACGGGCCGAAAAAATCGGTTCACCTTGGCGAAGGGCGCGACAAAGCGTCGCGGGGGGAGACCCGCCAAGAAGTGACTTCACAAGTTTTTTCGCTACCACAACCTTCTCGTCGAGCTGAACGGTCTCAAAAAAGAGCAAGGGATGGTTCAGTTATGGTTGGTTCGCTGGCGGTGGGCTCCACGGATGAGGTTTTACCTGGGCAAGATGTTGCTGGACGGGTGAATGTCTCTGAAAGCGCTCAAGTTCTTCCTGGGCAAGAAGTGGCTGGACAGGAGACGGCGCCGGAAGGAGCAGTACAGATTTCTGGCGAGGAGACTGACCAAAAAGAAGGAGAAGGTGGGAGCAATGACCTCCGTGGTGATGATGCGAAGATGTTGGATGGTGGTCCGGTGAGGAGTGACCTTCAGCAATTGCTGGTTAAAGGCCTTCTGACTCGGATTTATTGGAAGGTTGCAGTTGGCAAGTTGCCGGTGGGGCAAAGAGACTGCCAAAAAGGGTCCAATAAGATGGATCGAAATTTGGTTATTAGCATGTCATCCGAGGGTGCAAGCGAACAGGATGAGAACCTGGCACTGGAGGACGATGCTGATCAGTCAATGGGTGACGGTGCGATGGTTGTTCTGGTGTATGATCCAAGGACGCTGATTCAGTCGCCAACAACTGATTGGGTTATGCGTCGCGGTCTTACCGATCGTTCCGTCTGGCCAGCAATGGCGTACATGGCACAGAGGATATGTGCTGAAATGGTTCAAGTGGATGAAATGAATGCCCAGCTAGGGACTGGAGCACTCCTTTTTCAAAGGAGAGATCAAGGACATTATACTGACCTGCATCATTCGTTCCATGAAAACCCGTGCTTGCCGGCGGTGGGGAATTATCCTCTTTCAGTGATGGGTGCTTTGTTGTCTCCTGGTCTGGAAGGGGAATTCAAGAACACTGACAAGTTTGGAACTGCTATGGAGGCAATTGCCTACGATTGGAGCCGCAGTCCAGGCATGGAAGTTCATATTGAACTTATGGCGAGGGTAGCCAAAATGGTTCACCCATTCCTGAATCTGGGAGCCCAAGGGTCGGTGATGATTTCGGAATTTCTCTGGCAGCGCGGGAGGGCTCGGTTGATGGAGTTCCTTCAAGCGGCGACTTGTGCGGACCAATTGGAGGCTCTCTGGAGAAGGATGGACGACGATGCTGATGAAGAGGTGGATCCTTCGACAGCGGTGCTGGAAGTTCTTGGATCAGAGGGTGCGGTGCTTGATCAAGGGAACAATGAATCCCTTATTCCCATTGAAGATGCTGGAGGTGAGACAAGTGGTGACACTGGAGGGGATGGCAAAGCGCCAGAAGTTTCTCCGGAAGAGGAGACATCCAGTGGGTCATCAAGACTGGCGGACACAAGGATTTTCTTGTGGTCAGTGTACTCCCGCGTGGCTTCGAATTTCTCTATGCAGGACCGCACTACTGGTAAGATCTTTGACAGCACAAAAGGGTATCCTGGTGAAGGACCAAACAATGATGACAATCCTTCCTCTAAGGGGAACTTACCCTGGATCTCAGAAGACTACCTCGACGAAGTGGTGTCAAAAAAGATGGAAAGGTCTTCAGATATGGATGGGTTTGTTCCGGGAAGTGAGGGACCATTGGAAAAGGTAGAGGTGGAGAATGTTACTGCCTCTAAAATTCTTATGGCTCTTTGGAAGAAGGGACATAGAGTTGGTTATAGGAGGTTGTGTCGTTTGAACGCATCTGGATGCAAGGTTGGAGCAATGAAACGTCCAATCAAAAGGGTGCAGAAGATTGGCACTAGAAAGGCCTTCATGAAGATGTTCAATGTTTTTGGATCGTCTCAGCATGGCTCAGGAGTTGGCGGAAAACCGATCATGAAGGTGGTAGGACCAAGGCCAGGTTTTCCAGCTGTACTCCAAGCACCAAATACTGATAGCACGTCGGGTGAAGGGAGCAGTCCCCAGGTACATGGCAATGTTCATGTAGAGCACAATCGCCCTATGGACCGGTATGAGGCAGAGCGCTTGGAGAAGAGAAAGAAGGGTTTCTGCTATTGGTTCGGCAGGGGGAAAGATCGCTGCAAATTCGGTGACGACTGCAAATTCATCCATTCCGAAGATGATGTGGTGCTACATTCATATTGGTGCAAATACTATGTGGCAGGGAGAGAATGTTTCGCTGGAAAGGATTGTGAGTTCTCGCATGATGCAACTGGTGTGAGGTGCGTCCAGTTTGCTCGGTCTGGGAAGTGTCGATTTGGTGACAGGTGTGTCTTCGAGCATGGTGTTCCGTTGGAAAAACAGAGGCCAAGGTCTCCAAGGACGCCCCCAAGGGATGGTCCAAGGAGAAAGTCTGGTGCAAATGGTGGAGAAAAGGAGATCTCTCCTGAACAGTTCGATGATGATGAGGAGGATTTTATGGTTTATGACGAAGAGACCAAGATGACGGAACTGTTGATGGAGGCGATTTCATTTCTCTCCGGTGGCAAGCCAGATTTGGCTCGGGCAGAGGCGGACCCATTGTTCAAACTCCTGAAGTTCACTGGAGATGCTGACCAAAAGGATCAAGTATGGGTTGCTGGAACTTCTCGAAGTAGTGAAGTCGTATGAGGTTTCGCTCGCGGAGGTGGAAGAATGGGTCAATGACCTGAGGATATGGTATGAGCGAGCCAATTTGGGAGAGGAAAAGGATCCCAAAAGAGGTAAAAAGAGATCCCTAGAAAGGGAGTCCAGCAAGGATATTCCTGCCGAAACAGGAGTGGTTGAGACTTCGGAGACGGAGGTTGCCGTTGAAGAAGAGAAGAAAAAGGTAAAAAAGAAGAGGAAAGCTGCAGCTATTGAAGATCCTTACACTCTCATGGTTCCAAAGCCGAAGAAGATGCCGACGATCATTGAGAAGGGTGGATCAACATCCAATGTGGTGGCTTCTGCAGTGGAAAAATCCTCGAAGACGCGCACAAAGTCAAATGTCGGTGGAAAGACAAAGAAGAGGGAGAAAAGTCAGAGTCTCAAAAAAGAAGAGGTGGTAATGGTTCAAGATCCTGAAGAAAAGGATCGTCCATCTGATGCGGATGCACCAGGGCCTGCCACTGCGAATGAAGAGCTGGGTCAATCTTGCCAGGCGATTGAGGACGCAAAGAGGGAAGGATTGGTATCCTCAATTCAAAGGGGCGTACAGGATCCTGTTCTTACAGTTTCGGACCTGGAGTATATTCTGCTGCAACTCCACCTCAAGATTGCCAACAATCGGAAAAAGAAGTGATTGGATGGTATGGATGAAGGGATAGTTTTTCTCTTTCTGGAGACGGGTGCGCTGGAACAGCCAATGTGCTGACAATGTGGTGGTTACTATTAAGGGTATGGAAATCCCTGATAGTAGAAGTCAGTAGCTTTTCGCGTAGCGAAGACCACGGTTTGTGGTGAAGAAGGCCAAGGAGTCTTCAGTGATGAGAGGATCATGGTGAAAAAAGATTCTCTATGGGTAGTAGGTTAGCCAATGTGCTATAATTCCGTCCTGGAAGACGTTAAACCACAACTTGCATTTCAAGCAGCTGGCTGCTGCCTTAATGGCAGTTTTTGGCCAAAAGACCTGCATCTCCAATGTGTCCTAGGAAATCCTAGGACAGGGGGAGTGCGGAGCTGCAATTGGTATTGTAGAAAGGAGTTAGTGTTGGAAGTTGAAAGGGTCAATGAACCCGTAAACTATGTTTGGCTCAAGGATGGCCAGCCCGTCCAAAGAAAAAAGTCCGTGTTTGGGAGTGAGGGTTGGGTTAGTGCCCCTCTACTGGTGTAAGGGTGCCCCTTCCTTGTTGCTCTTATCCGTGTTCTTGGTTGTTTCTTGGTTCGATCTGGGAAATATAAGTTCAGGGCGATTAGGGGAGTTGATTTCCTTCCTTGGTTGTCCCCCCGTACCCTAAACCCTAAACCCTAAACCCTAAACCCTAAACCCTAACCTCAAAACTCAGAACTCTCGAATGCTCAAGAACATGACTTCCCCAGGCCGCCGGACGTTGCGCGGCTGCCCTGATTGGCGCGAGGGCCTTCGAAAACTGGGTTCAGGGCTCAGAGTTTAGGGTTTAGGGCTTAGAGTTTAGGGTTTAGGGTTGAGGGTTTAGGGCTTAGGGTTTAGGGCTTAGGGTTTAGGGTTCAGGGTTTAGAGGCAAGTTAGGCGATAGGGTTTCGGGTTTCGGGATGTTCTCAGCCGTTTTTTGACGAGGGTTGTAGAGGCTTCAAGGTTTGCCGTTGAGGGTTCTTTGGCTCAGGGGGGTGGGGATTTTAGACTGCAGGGGCTTTGTGGGTTTGTGTATTTTGTTAGAGACAAAATCAGCTAGCTGTGCCTCAATTGTTTTTTTGGGGTGGTTGGGGGGCTTCGGGCTTGACGGCTTGTTACTGTCTTTTTTGTTTTTGCAATTTTGGGTTGTTTTTGTCCTTCTCCTTTTTGGCTTTGGGGCTCGGGGTGGGGCTCCCTTTGGGCCTGGGAGCTTCCTAGGCCCTAAACCCTGAACCCTGAGCCGTGAGCCCTACCCACAAACTTCTTGGGTTTAGGGTTTAGGGTTTAAGGTTTAGGGTTTAGGGTTTAGGGTTTAGGGTTTAGGGTTTAGGGTTTAGGGTTTTGGGCTTAGGGTATAAGGTGCAACCCACCAGTCCCTTTCAGCCCTGCTGGCACAACCTGCTGCTCGATCACGAGGCGCTCGTTTCCTGAGTCAGGGCAGGATTCCGAGAAGAGATACAGAGTGCAAATGTGGGTTTAGGGTTTAAGGTTTAGGGTTTAGGGTTGAGGGTTTAGGGTTTAGAGTTTAGAGTTTAAGAATCGTAAAGTAGGTGCTGGATAAGTGCTATAAAACATTCGAGGATCTGCAACATAGATCCCCTTCTATGGCCATGGCGGCCATGGAACTCATGATAACCCCCAGGCTGGGCAATCTGCCAGAAACCCCTTACCCTGACAACTCTCACGACTTGGGACCTGAAACATAAGTCGGCCAGAGTGGGGTTTCAACCACACATGGGGCCCTTGTGCTCTTACAGATACCGGAAAAGGGAACCCGAACTCAGGCAACCTACCGTATGCGTGGCCCCTGAGGGGGTTTGCCTGAGTTGTGGTCCTCTTTTTTGTTTGGGGGGGGGGGGGGGGGGAGGGGGGGGTTCCGATGATGATACGGGGCCGGATAGCCCTGGAATCCAATATCCCGTGCTTCAAGCGTCGCCAAACAAATTAACCGCTGTATTCGATTAAGGTTTAGGAACCATCTGCATCCAGGCAGCGCTTTGTGAGGCGCTCGGTGCGAGCGCCCTCCTGGGGTTCCCATATGCAGCTTCAGGCTTCGGGTCCCTCAGACGCTCAACCCTACAAACCCCACAAACCCTAAACCTTCTCTTGGGGCTTTGGGAATGTGGGGTTCAGGGGGCTTTGGGGACTTGGGGCTGTTGGTTTTGGGCCTGTCAGAAGAAAGCCGTGCTCCCCTTGGCCTGGAGAACTACCAGAGGCCGATTCAGGCTTTGAAGTGCCTTTTTTCGGGTGAGAGCGCCTGCTTAGACCGAAAGTTTGTGGCGCGGCTTCAACCGGGAAGGGGGGTCCACATGTGTGGACCGAGGCCGCGGGCTTCGGTATCTGCTGTTGCGAACTTCCCATACACCACCCCCCGAAGATGCACAGGGTTCTCCACAAAACCCTAAACCCCTAAGCCCCCTAAACCCCCTCAACCCCCTAAACCCTCTAACCCCCCTAAACCCCCTAAACCCCCTAAACCCCCTAAACCCCCTAAACCCCCTAAACCCCCTAAACCCCCTAAACCCCCTAAACCCCCTAAACCCTAAACCCCTAAACCTAGCAGCCCGACCCTGAACCCTGAGGGCCCCCCCCTTGCCTTGCTTTGCTGCTGATGCAGCCTCTCGAAGAACAAGGCCCTTGCAGTGGCAGCCTGCATCCGTCAGGGGGTAGTAGGGGGTAGTAGGGGGTAGTAGGGGGCAGTAGGGGGTAGTAGGGGGTAGTAGGGGGTAGTAGGGGGTAGTAGGGGGTAGTAGGGGGTAGTAGGGGGTAGTAGGGGGTAGTAGGGGGTAGTAGGGGGTAGTAGTGGTAGTAGGGGGGCAGGAAGGAGGATGGCATCTTGCAGTCAACTAGGGCCGGTGTTCCGGGGCGGAAGCGGGGGGAGCTTCTATGAGGACCATCTAGGGTCATTATCGGGATCCACTCCTCCACCCCCTTACGCATCAGAAAGCTAAGCCGTTTGGATCCCAAAAGCACTGAAAATCCTGCGAAAGGGCACTCAAACCCCCAAAGCCCCTCATTCATACCTACGAGCTCAAACCCGCCTTCCAACCTTGGATTCCTGGACACCAAACCAACCTTCCAAGGGTGTTTGGTCCACATACCTTTAGGGTTTAGGGCCCTTTAGGGTTTAGGGTTCAGTGGTGGGGGGGGGGGGGGGGGACCCTACAGGGTTTAAGGTTTTTTTTTTTTGGAGCGGCGCCTCTTTACCACATCAGCAGCACAGTCGGCATGTCCCAGAACCCACCAAGCAAAAGCAGAAAACAAGCCGCCACACAAACGCCAACAACCCGCAAAGGGGCAATAAGTCCACATACCTTCATACCACATACCTTCATACCCAGACCCCTGAAAGAAACTTCTCTTTGTAGATCCCTGTAAGGGTTCCTAAGAATGACCCAATAGTAGTATAGGGTACGATTTCCGGGCTTGACATTTTTTTATCCTCCCAGGGGTCTGGGACCCTAAGCCCTGAATCCTCAAGCCTTTGGCATCCAGGCCTGGTGACGAATGCCCCTCAACCCTCAAACCCCCTAAACCCTAAACCCTAAACCCTAAACCCTAAACCCTAAAACCCTAGCAGCACACACATCCCCGGCCTGCTCCTTGAGCTCTGCTTTTTCCTGGCGCTCGCGTTCCATCTCCGCTTCCTTCCTGGCCGTGGCGACTCAGAATAACTACTACAAAGCACATGAAGTAGGGGTTTAGGGTTTAGGGTTTAGGGTTTAGGGTTCATATGTCTTGTACCCCCAAAAGGATACAGCTGTCCAGTACCGAGGAAAACTAAAGGTTAACCTTTGAGATTAGAAGGAGATTACATTACCCCAAGAAGGTTAAAGGTTACCTACTCTACTACTAAGATAAGTACTACAAAGCACATGAAGTGGGGTAAATATTTCTTGTACCCCCGAAAGGATACCCGGTATATACACTCACCAAGATTAAATAAAGGAACCTTATATACACTCACAATACCCCTTAACTAAGCAATATACCTGAAGTATAAGGGATCCTTTTTGCATGATTTAAGGAATATTCCTTATTTGAGGGGTATTGGGCTCTTTGGGTACTACAAAGCACATGAGAAACCAACAAAAGAAAGTTCTCTTCGCAGTCTTTTTTTTATATTACGAATAAGGGGAAAGCGAAAGCGAGGAAAGACAACATGTGACCGCTAATGATTGTTGACTCTTGGAGACCAGTAGTAAACGCATGAGTCTGAGTCTCATCAATCTTGTTCTCGCTTCGTTCATGCAATTCACGCGCAAAGTCGTTCATTTTCTTCACTTCGTTTACTTGTCATTGCATTCGCTTCACTTTACTTTGCTCATAAGATATAAGATGTAGAGCGCACAAGAACACAGTAACGAGCTCTTTGAATATATGAATATACAGATAGAGAGAGAGAGAGAGAGAAAAAGATAAATAGATAAAATGTGTACATGTGTGGGTGCGTATGCATATATATATATATACCAACGACTATTAAAATACGTATACTGACTTTACTTTTAATCCCCTTCCCCTAATATTCAACCCCCCCCCCCCCCACCCCCCTAATATTGAATACACCTCCCAATTGTTGTTACATTACTATATTTTGCTGGGGTTTTTAATATTAGGCGGTAGGGGGGGGGGGTTGATATTAGGAGGAGGGGATTAATGCTATGTATGCGCATATGCTCACAGGATCCGCACCTCCGCTTCTCTTCCGTCCTCCTCTTGACATCCTCTTGCTTCTGCTCCAGCTGGAGTTGCCTCCGCGCGGCCGGTTTTGTTTAGGGTTTAGGGTTTAGGGTTTAGGGTTTGGGGTTGAGGGTTTAGGGTTTGGGGTTTAGGGTTTAGGGTTTAGGATTTAGGGTTTAGGGTTTAGGGTTTAGGGTTGAGGTCCCATGGTCCCACCTCTCCGTGGCCCAGAGGTCTGCCTGCTTTTGGTCGATGAGACGCCGTGCCTCCTGGAATAGTTGGGTGTAGGGTTTAGGGTTTAGGGTTTAGGGTTTAGGGTTTAGAGGTTAGGGTTTAGAGTCTAAGGTTTAGGGTTTTGGGTTTTGGGTTTAGGGCCTCTTCTGCACATTACGACTACTGAGAAGAACTACCGTTTTCAATCAACAAAACCACCAGGATGGTAGTTTGGGGTTTGGGCTGGGCAAACAAATGTCGGGGGCTATCGTTTAGGGTTTAGGGTTTAGGGTTGAGGGTTGAGGGTTGAGGGTTTAGGGCAGTTTAGGGCAGTTAAGGGCAACTAAGGGCAATTTAGGGTTTAGGGTTTCATGGTGCCGCGAAACAAGGGCTTTGCTGGCAAAAGCCTCGAGACCCGGGGTCCTCAGAAGGTCTAGGCTGTCGCTTATACTAACACCTGAATAAGGATGATATTACCCCCGATAAAAACCCCTATAAAGGGCTGTTCATATAAGGGGGAGCATCCCCGAACCCTAAACCCTAAACCCTAAACCCTAAACCCTAAACCCCAAGGTTAAGGCTTAGGGCCTGAGGGTTCCTTTCGTGGAAGGCCCCCCGGAATGGTGGCCCGCGGCTTGACCGAGATATTCGGACCGTCCCTCAACTTCGACAAACCTGCAAAACCCTAAACCCCACGACAACGTCTTTAGGGCTTAGGGTCTAGGGTCTAGGGTCTAGGGTTTAGGGTTTAGGGTTTAGGGTTTGGGGTTTGGGGTAGGGCTTAGGGTGGAGGGGCACTCTTCAACCCCTTGTTAACCCCAAGAACAAGAGCCGCCCAGGAGCGATCCACAACGAACCCCGCAACCGACTCCGGGGTTCGAATGGCCCAAGCTCAAGACCGGAGCTACAAAGGCCCGCAACTAAAATTAGGGTTTAGGGCTTACTAGGGTTTTTAGGGCCTGTTAGGGTTTGTCAGGCTTTATTAGGGTTTATTAGGGTTGATTAGGGCTTATTAGGGTTTATTAGGGCTTTTTTGGGTTTAGGGTTTACTAGGGTTTATTTGGGGTTGAGATATAAAGACCCCCAAACCCCAAACCCGGCACCTTTCTCTTGAGCACCTTCTGCTTGTCTTCCTCCAGGGACCGGAGTGCCTTCTCATTCTCCTCTGCAGGACTCTGGGCGCACTGCTTTGCTTGCATGTGTGCCTACCTTCTATGGCACATCTCACCTGAAATAGGCCTAAACCCTAAACCCTAAACCCTAAAACCCTAAACCCTTCCACACACCGACCTACTTTTCCTGCGGCCTCCTGCGCACGAGACACGTCGGAGACCAATTCTTCCTGCTTCCTGCCTGCAGACTTGGCGTCAGCTACGCCAATTATGAGTCTACCGCCGCAATCAGCACCCGAAACAGAACTCTGGCGCACAACCTGCCAAACCGGATCCACTGGGCCCCGCCCAAAGCAAAGTCCAAAAAACCCTCTCACATCCCTAGGCTGAGTTGCACCTCTGCAAGCACAAACCCGGGAACTACTATGAGAGTGGGAATAATTACTAACAGTATTATTCCCTCAAGGTCCCGTTATAACTATACCATAATAACCCCCCAAACCCGTATTCTAGGTATTCAGGCCCCCGTAGTAGCCCTAAACCCTAAACCCTAAACCCTAAACCCTAAATAACGTCACCCGGTGCACCGCCGAGCTGAGCCAGAGCTGGGCCACGCACTGCGTGAAGTTTCGACCTGGCTCATGATGTCGTCCTTCAGGCCTCGTGCTCTCTACTTGGCGGTTCATGGAGGGCTCAGGGTTTAGGGTTTAGGGTTTAGGGTTTAGGGTTTAGGGTTTAGGGTTTAGGGTTTAGGGTTTAGGGTTTAGGGTTTAGGGTTTAGGGTTTAGGGTTTAGGGTTTAGGGTTTAGGGTTTAGCGCTCAGGGGGTTGAGGCGAGCCTTGTTGCGCATCTAGCTCGTTCTCCGCAAAAGGAACACCGTCAGTATGAACCCGACAGCCGAGGTACGGCATATCCACCCTAAAGCAACTTCACAGTAGGCTCCCCCAAACGCTGAAGTTTAGGATTTAAGCCCTAGACCTCAACCCTAAGCCCAAAACGATAAACCCTAAACCCTAAACCCTAAACCCTAAACCCTAAACCCTAAACCCTAAACCCTAGACCCTAGGCCGCAAGCGAAGGTTAGGGCTCCTCAGGGTCTTTTTGGGGGCACCCCACGTGCCGCATGCAGGACGGGTGGCCTCCTTCCTGCCTGCTGAAGCAACCGCTTTGAAACCAGGCATGGGGTTTAGGGTTTCGGGTTTAGGGTGTAGGGTTTAGGGTTTAGGGCTTAGGGTTCAGGGTGTAGGGTTTATTTAGGGTTTAGGGTTTAGGGTTTAGGGTTTAGGGTTTAGGGTTTAGGGTTTAGCGTTTACGGTACCACGTATCAGCCCCCCCCCGCCCCAAAGCAACCCCTTTAAAGATATGGCGGGGTTCTCTGAATTATGATCCCTTTTTGGGATCGCTACATATAGAAACCCCAAAAAGGGACCATACTTTAGAGAGTTCACCATGCGCCTAAACAGTAGCTAACGAGTGCAGCTTGGCGGGGGAACACTGGCCCCTGAAAGCAAGAAACATGAAAACATGAACATCTTCACGGCGCCACTGAAAAAAGACCCGGCGTGAACCTTTTACATCCACCTGGCGTGAACCTAACACCCTAAACCCTAAACAAGAAAGCTAAAACCCCTAAACCTGAAAGGTTTAGGGTTTAGGGTTTGGGGTTTGGGGTTTAGGGTTCAGGGTTAAGGGTTAAGGGTTTAAATGTTTAGGGTTTAGGGGGTTTAGGGTTTATGGTTTAGGGTTTAAGGTTTAGCGCTTAGGGTTTAGGGTCGGTCCCTGAACCCTCACCCGAAAGGTCGAGCGGCGGATCATCTGCTCCTGCCTCCGCTGAGCAGCCACCTTCGCCTGCAGGGCCAACTTTGACACCAGTGGGTTTAGGGTTTCCGGTGTAGTCGCTCACTCTCGCACAAGGCAGGCAAGGTTCGTTGGTCTGTGTAGGCACTAAGACAACTGAGACGGCCAAATAATGATAATGCAATCGCGTGGGCCCATGGGAGCACAAAAGCAAGGAAAGTAAGACCCACATTCCCCTAAACGCTAAACCCTAAACCCTAAGCCCGAGACCCCAAACCCTAAACCCTAAACCCTAAACCCTAAACCCTAAACCCTAAACCCTAAACCCTAAACCCTAAACCCTAAACCCTAAACCCTAAACCCAGCCCCCACAGGCCCATCGACTACATCCTCAGGCCGCTCATCAGAAAAGACATCATTGGGGCTTTGGACTAGAGGCAGCCTGTTGGGTGTTCAATCAGGACAAACCCAAAGCAAGTAAAACCCAACCCCAGTCAAGACCCCAACAGGATTGGCCGATGGTCACTAGCGTAGTCAGTAGGGCGCAAAAGTGCACTAAGAATACAGGGGAACACAGCCTCATAGGCTATATATGGCGTTCGGTGCTTTTTGTGCGCGGCCTCTATCTTCGAAAACTCCTGATCCTTGTCCGCACGAACCTTGGCAGCTGCGCAGTGGCAGGTCCAACAGGGGTTGAGGGTTTATAGGCTTCAATCGTTGAACCCTTTTGAGCAAAGGACTGTGCAACTGCCGGCACACATACAACTAGCCTTGAACCCTAAAACCCCGAACCCTCAACCTCAATAGGCCTCATATGGCAGCAAAACCTCGTGGACCCCGATCACTTTTACCACCTTTCGTTCCAGCAATGCCTTCACTACCATTACTCCCTTGTTGCCCTGGTGGACCTGTCAGAACCAGTTTAACCATTCATACCATTCCAACAAGGTACACCTGTCATTCCTGCTTTGGGCACAAAGGACACGCTCAGCCCCCGGCCCGCGCTCTCACTTTTTCTTCTTGCTCTCTCTCCTTGCCAAGTTCTGCACAAATCATCACAGGAAGATCTCAAGACACTAAAGCCTAAACCCTAGACCCTAAATAAACCCTAAACCCTAAACCATAAGATTCAAGTCATCCTCGGGGTCTGAGCAAGGGGTACCTGCCACCGTGTCCTTGGCGCGCTCATGCTCCTGCACCTGCTGCTTGAGGCAATCCCGATACCTGCCGTGAGAGACTTGCCAAACTGGATCCTAAACCCTAAACCCTAAACCCGAAACCCTAAGCCCCAAATCCCAAAAGCCTGTGGTGGGCTGGGCTGAGAACTCTAGGTTGAGGCTTGAAAACACACAGATGGCTTTGGAAAATTCCTAAGTTCTGGTGCTTCCACAGCGACACGTAAAGTTAGGCGAAGGGCCCGCTCCATAGGCATCAGAAGGGTTTAGGGTGTAGGGTTTAGGGTTTAGGGTTGTTCCTTCTTCGAGGAGGGCTGAGCAAGCAATGCAAGCAACAAGCGTGCGACTGCACACACGCCCGGGCATGTCAGAGAGACCAGCAACAGCACAAAGCGAGCCCGAAAGCCAACGTCTCATCCGTTGAGCCGGCGTCGTCGTCCGCACTTCGTTCAGAACTCTAGGGGTCTTCAGGCACATTCTGATAACATCCCAACATGAGATGGGTGTGCCAGAAAGCATTCAACCCCAAGCCCTAAACCCATCTGCACACACCCACACACTTTCACACCCACACTCACACTCTCACACACTCTCACACACTCGCACTCGCACACACACCCACACCTACACTTACTCACAGACTCACACACTCACTCTTACTCACACCCTCACACACTCACACACTCCCACACACCCACGCTCCCACACACCCACAGTCGCACACTCCCACACTCACACACACACACACAGAGACACCGCCCCAGCCTGGACTTCCGCTCCTTGTCTGCCAGCTGTTGCTTCAGCTGCTCATCCTGGGAAGCTTCTGAACGGGAGGCCGCCTTTGGGGAAGCTTTGGGCGGGGGTAGTCTGGGCTGCTAAAGACATGGAATCTCAAAAACACAAAAGCCATGGATGCACAGCGACATATAGGGTTTCTCTTCTTGGAACTGAAGGCCCCTTTCTAAAAGAAGCCCGAAACCCTAAACCCAAAACCCTAGACCCGAAACCCTAAACCCTATACCCTGGCTTTTTTGGTGGGCCTTGAAGGCCGCAAAACATGGCCGGGCCACTTCCATGCACAGCTTCTGCACCGCCGCCACTTTGGACCACCGTGTCAGCTTCTGAAACTCCGGCTTCACCTCGGCCACTAAGGGTTGAGGGTTTAGGGCCTTTAGGGTTGAGGGTTTAGGGCCTTTAGGGTTTAGTGTTGAGGGTTTAGGGTTTAGGGTTTAGGGTTTAGGGTTTAGGGTTTAGGGTCACAGCAAAATGCCAAGATAACCCCCCACGCGCCGGAGCTCTGAGAGTGCAGTTGTGACCATATCACCTCTACACCCGAAGGGTCACCAGCTCTGACTCAACCCCTCAGCCCCTTTCCACATAAACCTGAATCCCTAAACCCTAGCCTTAAACCCTGTTTGCTTAACGTCAGACATTCTGCAACAAAACCCACAGAAACACATCCTGAAAGCCCTCGCAATTCGTTTGGGAAGGCGCCGTCAGGGAGCTGCCATCCCAGTAGCAGATGCTCGGCCGCGAAACCTCTCAAGTTTCATGAAGCTGGCAGGGTGCGGGGGTCTTCCGACAAGCCAGGCGAGGATCGCAGCCAGCTGTCATGCCAAGATGGACCCTGGCACTGTTTTCAAACCCTTAAACCCTAAACCCTAAACCCTAAACCGGGCGCTTGGATCTGAAGGAAACCGTCGCTCGTCAAGCAAACCTTCCCCCGCACAATTTTTAGCGGCCCACATCACACACCTTTACAAGTGCGAGTGGAGAGGCCAGTGCCTCATGACATGTTGAAATTAAGGCCGTGACACCAATGTGTCAGTGCCAGATCTATAGCCTACCGGCCGGACATCACCGGATTGCAGGCCAGCGTAACTATGCTGAAGAAGGCTTTCTAGGTTGCTCGGGTGGACAAAGGTGGCAGTCGCGCATCTGACGCCCCTGTACTTGTAGAGACTGTAGTAGCCTATATAAAATAGAGCTGTGAAGTGTACCACAGCCCAAAAAATATCGACCGCTGCCACGTTTGTTCCCTGTAACAGGTCTCATCCCTGTTCGCTATGCGCAAGGAATGCAAACTTCCCGAAGAGCTCCGGAGCTCTTTGTTGAAGCCGTGCTGAGTTGATTACCAAAAGTTGTGCTGAATTCTGTGCAGGTGCTGCCTTGCAGCCATCAGGCATGCAACTGACGACAGAGTCAGGACCTAAGGCCAGTGCACTTCGTGCTATCGATCTGGCTTTCAGAACCTCTTCGTTGATAAAACAACTGATGCTTGTCGTCATGGAGGCCTGTCACCTCAGTACAAGTGCGCGTTCGCGGCCAGCTGCTTGATCTGGTAGTCGAACCACTGGCCAGCTTCGGGTGCGCGGGGCTCCTCCGGGCGAAAGCCGATGCTGTCGACGGATGCACAGTCCTCATCGAAGCGCGGGCAGGAACCTCCATCTGGAAGAGTCTGCGAACAGCCATCGGACTCACCTGGCGTCTTCAACCAGAAGTAGGCATCAACAACAGATGGCTTGGCAGTGTCCGTCGTGGCTGCGAGACCTACGCCGGCGCCTCGAATGTTGCACCAGTTGGCGCAGTCCGAACGCATTCCTGGGACACCATTGCGCCCAGTATCAATGATCATGTGGGGCACAAAGCCACGGATGCCCTCCGACATGGCTTTCCGCAGGTGCAAGGCATACTGCATCTCGTTATGTGACGGGTTCCACTGGCTCGTCAAGCCGCAGGGGTCACTGCAGCACGGATGGTTCGGATGGGCATTGTTGAGGCAGAAGTCGTAGGTCGGACACACCTCACCCACGTACTGATAGCCTGCCACGTTGCTGGCGAAGCCGCGGATGAGATCCGAAACCCCGAGGCCCTTGATTGTCTGCACGAAATCCTTCATGTTGTCCTTCCAGCCAAGCCAACCGCCGTGACCTGCATCCAGGTAGATTGCAGCATGTGGGTCGGCTGCGGCCAATGCCTTGACGGCATAGCTGACTCCGCCCTGGTATGCGCTCTTGGTTGCATCGTTTCCACACCTTGGGTCAGCCAGATTGGTTGACAGGTTTGGCAGAGAATCCGGCTCGATGACCAGCACCACTGGCACACGACCGGAGAACTGCCGCAGCACTGAAGCAATCTGGTCAATGTACTCCTCCTTGTACTGCTTTAGGCCGGCGCTGCAGCTGCCGTCGCCCACATCCAAGTAGTCACAGCGCCCATCAGCTTTGTAGCTGCAGCACAACTCGCCATTCGACGCCTTGGCATGGCAGTCACGGTTTGGCAGGTCGTAGACGATGAAGACCACGAGCTCTGGAACCGCCTTGCTCACGGCATCTTGCAGGATCCCCTCCATGCTGCCCGTGGAGCTGCCATGAATCTTGTCTCGCTTGTCCAGCCAGTATGCCGAGGGTAAATCCACCATGGCCTCGAGCGTCTCCTTGATTGCGCCCTCCGAGGACTGGATGCTGGTGGACAAGGATGCCTGGTACGAAGGATTCACGTAGAACACGTTGTCCTTGAAGGGGTTCTTCCTTGGCCCGCGAGGCTTACCAGAAGTTGACGAAAGAGGTGCACTTGATGTTGGCTCAATGGGTGCGCTGGTAGAGGGCTCAGCACTGGTCTCAGAGGCCGCCGTGGTGGTGTCGGCTTGATACAGGCGCGCGTTCGCGGCCAGCTGCTTGATCTGGTAGTCGAACCACTGGCCAGCTTCGGGTGCGCGGGGCTCCTCCGGGCGAAAGCCGATGCTGTCGACAGATGCACAGTCCTCATCGAAGCGCGGGCAGGAACCTCCATCTGGAAGCGTCTGCGAACAGCCATCAGATTCACCTGGCGTCTTCAACCAGAAGTAGGCATCAACAACAGATGGCTTGGCAGTGTCCGTCGTGGCTGCGAGACCTACGCCGGCGCCTCGAATGTTGCACCAGTTGGCGCAATCCGAACGCATTCCTGGGACACCATTGCGCCCCGTGTCAATGATCATGTGGGGCACAAAGCCACGGATGCCCTCCGACATGGCTTTCCGCAGGTGCAAGGCATACTGCATCTCGTTATGTGACGGGTTCCACTGGCTCGTCAAGCCGCAGGGGTCGCTGCAGCACGGATGGTTCGGATGGGCATTGTTGAGGCAGAAGTCGTAGGTCGGACACACCTCACCCACGTACTGATAGCCTGCCACGTTGCTGGCGAAGCCGCGGATGAGATCCGAAACCCCGAGGCCCTTGATTGTCTGCACGAAATCCTTCATGTTGTCCTTCCAGCCAAGCCAACCGCCGTGACCTGCATCCAGGTAGATTGCAGCATGTGGGTCGGCTGCGGCCAATGCCTTGACGGCATAGCTGACTCCGCCCTGGTATGCGCTCTTGGTTGCATCGTTTCCACACCTTGGGTCAGCCAGATTGGTTGACAGGTTTGGCAGAGAATCCGGCTCGATGACCAGCACCACTGGCACACGACCGGAGAACTGCCGCAGCACTGAAGCAATCTGGTCAATGTACTCCTCCTTGTACTGCTTTAGGCCGGCGCTGCAGCTGCCGTCGCCCACATCCAAGTAGTCACAGCGCCCATCAGCTTTGTAGCTGCAGCACAACTCGCCATTCGACGCCTTGGCATGGCAGTCACGGTTTGGCAGGTCGTAGACGATGAAGACCACGAGCTCTGGAACCGCCTTGCTCACGGCATCTTGCAGGATCCCCTCCATGCTGCCCGTGGAGCTGCCATGAATCTTGTCTCGCTTGTCCAGCCAGTATGCCGAGGGTAAATCCACCATGGCCTCGAGCGTCTCCTTGATTGCGCCCTCCGAGGACTGGATGCTGGTGGACAAGGATGCCTGGTACGAAGGATTCACGTAGAACACGTTGTCCTTGAAGGGGTTCTTCCTTGGCCCGCGAGGCTTACCAGAAGTTGACGAAAGAGGTGCACTTGATGTTGGCTCAATGGGTGCGCTGGTAGAGGGCTCAGCACTGGTCTCAGAGGCCGCCGTGGTGGTGTCGGCTTGATACAGGCGCGCGTTCGCGGCCAGCTGCTTGATCTGGTAGTCGAACCACTGGCCAGCTTCGGGTGCGCGGGGCTCCTCCGGGCGAAAGCCGATGCTGTCGACAGATGCACAGTCCTCATCGAAGCGCGGGCAGGAACCTCCATCTGGAAGCGTCTGCGAACAGCCATCAGATTCACCTGGCGTCTTCAACCAGAAGTAGGCATCAACAACAGATGGCTTGGCAGTGTCCGTCGTGGCTGCGAGACCTACGCCGGCGCCTCGAATGTTGCACCAGTTGGCGCAATCCGAACGCATTCCTGCGACACCATTGCGCCCAGTATCAATGATCATGTGGGGCACAAAGCCACGGATGCCCTCCGACATGGCTTTCCGCAGGTGCAAGGCATACTGCATCTCGTTATGTGACGGGTTCCACTGGCTCGTCAAGCCGCAGGGGTCGCTGCAGCACGGATGGTTCGGATGGGCATTGTTGAGGCAGAAGTCGTAGGTCGGACACACCTCACCCACGTACTGATAGCCTGCCACGTTGCTGGCGAAGCCGCGGATGAGATCCGAAACCCCGAGGCCCTTGATTGTCTGCACGAAATCCTTCATGTTGTCCTTCCAGCCAAGCCAACCGCCGTGACCTGCATCCAGGTAGATTGCAGCATGTGGGTCGGCTGCGGCCAATGCCTTGACGGCATAGCTGACTCCGCCCTGGTATGCGCTCTTGGTTGCATCGTTTCCACACCTTGGGTCAGCCAGATTGGTTGACAGGTTTGGCAGAGAATCCGGCTCGATGACCAGCACCACTGGCACACGACCGGAGAACTGCCGCAGCACTGAAGCAATCTGGTCAATGTACTCCTCCTTGTACTGCTTTAGGCCGGCACTGCAGCTGCCGTCGCCCACATCCAAGTAGTCACAGCGCCCATCATCTTTGTAGCTGCAGCACAACTCGCCATTCGACGCCTTGGCATGGCAGTCACGGTTTGGCAGGTCGTAGACGATGAAGACCACGAGCTCTGGAACCGCCTTGCTCACGGCATCTTGCAGGATCCCCTCCATGCTGCCCGTGGAGCTGCCATGAATCTTGTCTCGCTT